AGAGAGAGAGAGAGAGAGAGAGAGAGAGAGAGAGAGGCATTGAGCCTACACCAATTCGTGGCAATTTTGAAAAAAATTAGGTGGGGATGACCCTTATATGCGAATGGGTGTATTCGAGGAGTATTGTGAGTGTAATCAGGATGTATTCAGGGTGTACACCCCTTCTCAATTAGAGATGACTGCACGTAATTTTTTTCTCGTCAATTTTAGCTTTATCACTTATTGTATTTTAATAAGCATTTTAAATTTGGACATATGAATGGTTTATAATCATAAAAAGTCTCAACATTTATGTTACTCATAATGATTAATACTTCATTATACTTCAACTCAACCAACATATCAAAAGGGACTTTAGAATTTGGTCTAAAACCAACACGCAATTAATTAAAATTTATGGGTTTCCTACCTACCCTAACATTAACAGCATAGTTCACAAGAGTAAATAAATACTCTCTTATGTTACGCCTACTAATGCTAATGTTATATAATATTCTTATAAATTTAATAAGTCGGGAAAAAAAATGAATTAGCGTAATCAAATCTAAATTTATTCATAATTAAATTTTTAGTCATTAAACTTAATTTAATTTAAATAAAATATATGTCAAATCGATCAACCGGCATTGCATTTATCTCAAATAAATTCAATGATTATGGCTTTTAGGAGACAAAATTTCCATGAATTTTTATATTATATATAGCGACAAAATTTTATTATTTTCTTTTTTTTGAAATGTTCATCAATTTAATAATTTTATTCAACACATTCCCAACAAATATATATACAATCAAAATCTGCAGGAAGGAGAGAAGTGGGTGGCATTAGGTTCAAAGAGACTAAACCTGCATCTCCTCCCAAACTATAATTTCTTTTAATTAATACATAGCATTTCAAACTCAGAACACAAGCAAACCTTCCAACTACTGAAATCGATAGTTAAAAAGCAGCAATAAATTCATATTTAGTAGCTGCTTAACGCCGCTTGGCAAGCTCTATATCAGCTATAACAGAATTAATTAATCAGATTTTTTAGTTGGCTCATGGCTGGAGACAAACTAATGAGAACAGAGCAGGGATGGAGATGAAGTGCTTTCAATGGAGTAGGGAGATGGGGATTTGCAGCATTTAAAGTCACTACTTGTCACTTTTAATGCATGGCCTGAACCACTTTAATATGTTTGATGAGATACATTTAAGAACCTCCCACCCCTCTTCTTTTAATCAGCATAAAAAGAAATATGATATATGAAACAGAACAGCTTCAGCGTGATGGACCAACCCGAGCTTTCTCTAAGCCCATCTCTCTCTTCAGCCACATTATCGCAGGCCAGAACTGAATCAAATTCTAGAAAGAGAAAGCAGAATTACATCGATTGGCCGGTTAATGATCCATTGCCCTCAGACTGGGAGCAATGTCTCGACTTAAAGGTATAAACTTTTCTGTTCTCTGCATCCTCAAATATGCAAGATCACAATTTTGTCTTCTGACAAAACATATTTTATGTCGCAGTCTGGAAGAATGTATTATTTGAACAGGAGAACCTTGACCAAAGTATGGAACAGGCCTTATAAGGAGCGGAAGCTGGACCTGGAGCTTTCAATCATGCCGGCATTCACAGACAAAAGTGCAGAGAATGAAGCAGAGAAGCCCGAAGACACCGACTGCGACGGCGGCAGCATGGCCGCCATCGTCTGTCTGAACTGCCACCTCCTCGTCATGCTGTATCGATCGTCGCCGTTTTGTCCTAATTGCAGGCATATGCACTTCTTCCCTGCGACACAACCCCTGAAGGTGCTGGAAACCCTAAATCTTCTCAACTAATATGATGTATAAATATTATATTAGATATGGATTGTGGCGAAGAAGTGTTTGTATGGTTGTTCCTGTAGAAATCTACTGCTACATTAATGCATGGATGATACCAATGGCAAAATATGAATGGTTTAGTACGTACGTATACCGTTTTATGGAACTATAAATGCGATGCTTATAGAAATGACTGAGCTTTAGTTTGGGCAAAGTTAAGTTAGGATTTCAAAGTCGTATAATGCTCGTGTAGGTTATTGTTATTAATATGGTCAACGAACTTGTTAAAAGAGAAAAGTGGAACTTACATTGATGTCATTTAATTCTTAGTATATTTTGATATCTAACATTTGAAAATTGAGTATTACATAAATATCACCCAATTCCTCTACTTTTTCAATCCTACCACTCTGTTATATTTTGTTGTCAACGGCGAATGGCGAAGCTTGCGAAAGTGGAAGGGGTGTACCACTAGTATTTGTATTTCATGATCTCATCGCTGCCTTGTAGTCAGAGGAGGAAGGGGAGTTTGCAATTCCATCGCTAACTTCCCAGGAACTGGGGCCGAAGAAGGAGAAAGAAGACAGTTTTAGAGGTTTTTATATGTGGCGATTCCATCGTTGTCTTTTAAGGGAAAAAAACATTAGGTCTGAATGCATCCGGAGTCCAATAATAAGGCATGAAAGAAGGAAAAAAAATATGTGATGTTTCTTATTTGTGGAGGAAGAAAAAAAATTGACTGTGGACAAGAAATTATTATGAGGGGAGTCCGCACGTGCGAGGAGCCAGAACACATCATGGCAAATCTACATATGCAATGACTTGCCCCCAATTGCACATAAGTGGGGAGAGGATGAGAACAGATGGCATGTCCTTGTTCTAATTGATTGGAGTTTTTCTAGACCAATCATTTATCATTCTAGCATTATAAGCAAGCCTTAGATCTGTTGAGTAAACCTCATCAACGGTAACTTCGTCCTAAGTATTTCTAGTCTATTTAAATATTAAGATAATAATAAAATATTGAAGAAAAGACCATGTGAAAAAGAGAATAAATAGGAGTGGAACTATGGAGAGCTTTTCTTGGAGCCCTTCATGTCCCCTTTTTAGGGCTTGCTTTTGAGCGTTTTGATGATTCTTTCGGGTCCTTGGAGTCATCGATTAGGTTTTGAATTTTCTCGTTCTGATTTCGTTGATGGCTACCACAAATCGAAGGAATGCGCTATCTTACAGGGATGCGGTTTCTGGTTATATCCCGGATTTATCTGATGTTCTCTTTCCAATTTCCTTTAAGAATAGACTGGAACAAGGTGATCCTGATATGCTTTTCAAGAAAGCCTCAAGCAAAAATGGTAGGCCTGCTATTGTTTTTCATTCAAAGGAAACTAATCTTCTTATGGAGCCATGGAAGTTTACCCTAATTAGTAAGTTTGCTATGGCTCATCCGAAGGTGGATATTATTTGTAATTTCTTTTCTAACCTAAATTTGAGATAAATTTGAGAGGTAAATGGAGCTGAGAGGTAAATGGAGCTTGGGATTAATTGATGGACGCAATATGATGATCAAGTTACAAAAAGAAGTTGATTACACTTCCTTATTTGCTAGGAAAATTCTTACTATTGACAGATGCCATATGAAGATACTCAAATGGACTACTAATTTTAATCCATCTGAGGAATATCCTATTATTCCTATATGGGGAATATCCTATTATTCCTATATGGATTAGGTTTCCGCGTCCTAATTTTAATCCATCTGAGGAATATCCTATTATTCTTATATGGATTAGGTTTCCGCGTGTCAAGCTTCACTTATTTCATCCGCAAGTCTTATTTTCAATAGGCTCAATTTTGGGTCATCCATTGAAGATAGACAGTGCGACCTTACATTGTACGCGTCCTTCTATGGCAAGGATTTTGGTAGAAAGAGATGTTACGGCTCTATTTCCAGACTCTATCTAGATCGGCGATGAAAACACGAGATATTGACAATCTGCGGAATTGGAATTTGTTCCTCCTTATTAATTTGTTCCTCCTTATTGCCCTTATTGCTCTAAATGTAAAATGTTTGGTCACATGATATCATCATGTTATATTGCGCATCCTGATTTAAAACCTGCTACTTATAGAGCTTATATAAACAAGAAGCATAAAGAAGTTCTCAAGGAAGCTCAAGTCAGTTTTAGAGGTAATAGAAATATAGAGAAAAACTTTGAGAGGAGGCCTGAAATAAAGGATATACATAAGCATAAAGAAGTTCTTGAGGAAGATCAAGCTTTAATGGTGACAATGTAAATGTTGTGTTAAATTCTAGGAGAAAGGAAGATATCCTTCATGGTGAAGAAAAGGCTAATAACAAAGGCTGATAAATTACATATTATTATTCATATATCCCAGAAAGAACTTGATCTAAATGAGCCGGACTTGATTAATGGGCTTAATCTAGAGGTAAATCCTTCTAATCCTTTGATTCGTGATCTTTTTACTAATAACGATTTGAATCTTGTGTCCAATTCCATAAGCTGTGACCAAGAACCTTTAGTCTTAACGAGGAAGGAATTGGAAGAAGATTGGTTAATTCAAAGATCGTCAAGGAAAAGGAAATTAAAGGGAGTAAGAGAACTTGGTTTTATTAATCAAGAAGCTCTTAATTTCTTGAAATCCGGTAAATATAAAGAGGGCACTTATTCTTCATTTAGATGCACTAAAGGAAAATCTAATTATGATGATGGTTAATACTCTAATTTTGAATATTAGAGGCATTACTAAATCCAGTGCCTCTTATAGGTTAAAGAGATTGATACGTATTTATAAGCTTCATTTATTTGGCATTCTGAAACCTTGCAGTCAAGAATAATGAAAAATTCATGAGACGGTTTGGTTTTTTTTTGCTTATGCCAATACGAGCAATAAGATTTTTTTTGGAAGGATTTCATAAAGATTGATATTCTTATCAATCATGACCAATTATTACATATCTGTATTCATCGGGATAATGATTCTTTTCTATTTTTTATTATATATGCGGGCTGTTCTAAACAGTCTCATTTAGAATTATGGAAAATCTTAGTTGATATCAATTCTAATTCTGAACCTTGGCTTTTGGGAGGGGACTTCAATTTGATTTCTTCTATTCAAGAAAAGAAAGGAGGAATTGCGCTTAATCTTAATCTTATATCCTTTTTTAATAATGCTATTATTGATGCCGATTTGTTTGATTTGGGATTTCATAGCATTGAGGTTACTCATTAGCTATTGATGCCTCTGATCATGTTCCTATCATTCTAAAGACTAAGAATGCTAACTATAAGATTTCTTATTAGTTTCATTTTTATAACATGTCGATGCTTCATAGCAATTTTTGTAGAAATAAGAAATCACTAACAAATTTATTTTACAAAATATTAATCATCGTAAAACACAAAAAAAAAAAAATTTTTTAAATCAATAGTCTTTCAATAAATAATTTGTGGCAATAAACCAATCAACTTTTTAGAATAAAATAATTCATTGTCCCCTTCGTATGAAGAAATATTTGATAAGAAAAATATTCCAATGAAAGCTAGACCGTATCAGATAAATAAATAATATTTAGATTTGGCAAACAAAAAATTAGTGATTTATTAAATTAAAAGAATTGTCTACAACTCCAATTTGGAGTTGTACAGCCTTCATGTTATAAATACTACAAAAAAAAAGATTTAAGTTAGTGATTAATTACAAACCATTGAATAGAGCTTTAACATGAATAAAATATCCAGCCCAAATAAAGAAAAAATATTACCTCAGGAGTACTGATGCATCAGTACTCCAATGAGGGGGTGCCACGTAGGCAATGATCCCCAATGAGGGGGTGCCACGTAGGCACCACGGTGGGACCATTGCTTACGTGGCACCCCCTCATTGGAGTACTGATGCATCAGTACTCCTGAGGTAATATTTTTTCTTTATTTGGGCTGGATATTTTATTCATGTTAAAGCTCTATTCAATGGTTTGTAATTAATCACTAACTTAAATCTTTTTTTTTGTAGTATTTATAACATGAAGGCTGTACAACTCCAAATTGGAGTTGTAGACAATTCTTTTAATTTAATAAATCACTAATTTTTTGTTTGCCAAATCTAAATATTATTTATTTATCTGATACGGTCTAGCTTTCATTGGAATATTTTTCTTATCAAATATTTCTTCATACGAAGGGGACAATGAATTATTTTATTCTAAAAAGTTGATTGGTTTATTGACTGTTCAGGAACTTCTTATGGATTTTGATTTAAAAAATAGAGGGGGCAATGTGATTTTCAAGCTTGACAATTAAAAATGCCTTTGATATCATTCGTTGGGAGCTTTATTTGGATGTTTTGAAAGCTATTGGTTTTCCTCAACATTTATGCAACCTTATTCATAGAATTTTGAATAATAATTACTATTATATTCTTATTAATTGTCAGAAGTATGGTTTCTTTAAAGCTACCAAAGGAATCAAGCAAGGAGATCCACTTTTTCCTAATTTGTTTATTATAACTTTTGATTATATATCCAGATGTCTTAATCATGGTTATGCCACCTACCCTACTTTAAACTATATTCACAAATGAAAAATTAGTGTATCTCATATTTGCTTTGCTGATGATCTTATTATTTTTACCAATGCTCACAAATGTTCTATCAAATGAGTTTGGGGGATTCTTCAACATTTCCAGGATGCTTCTGGGCTTAGTTTCAATACTTCTAAATGCCATTATTATTGTTTTAAAAGGGTTTCTTCTAATACTAAGAAATGGATTTCTGATTTTACGGATTGTAAAAAAACCACACTTCCTATACCTTATTTGGGTTTCGAACTGAATAAAGGTCATAGAAGATTTGCTTATTGTCTGCATATGGTAGATAAAATTAAACAGAGACTATCTTCTTGGGAGAATAAATTTCTCTCGTATGGAGGTAGAATTACTATTCTTAAAAGTATTATTTGCTCCTTGCCTCTTTATTCTTTATAGGTTATGAATATTCCTAAGGGGATTATTAAGAAACTTGAAGGGTTTTTTAATAAATTTCTTTGGGATGGTTTGAGAAAGAAGAATATTCATTGGAGGAGTTGGCAG